CACACGTAGTCTCGCACATGATTGAGAAGTAGAGTACACAGTCGGTCAACAATCAAACTTCCCACAACTCCCAAGATCCACCATTCGTTCCTCCTAACAAGCAGTCTCCCGACATATGCCGAGAAAGACCACCGACCGAAAGAGGACTTCTACGAAAACAATCATTGCTTAAGTACTACGCACTCCCTGATGTTATTCCAGGTCGGGTCTAACTCCTGACTCCTGCCAACTGGTGGTGCTGACCCTCTCGTAGCAACTGTTTCGAGTAGCCACAAAAAGTAAAAGGTCCGGACCAAAAAAACGTCCGTCGACCTGAGCCAAAGCAAATCCACACAAATCGTCGAGCCTAGGCTCAAAAGGCCCGGAAGTGTACCACACTGAGCCAAAACCACACAAAACAAAACAAACCGGCCCGGGCTCCCGGGGGCCGATGCTATATCCTAATGAAACCGTATTAACACTACTTTCATACCAAGTCCACTGCAATGAACCCCTGTCACCACTACTTACTCACCAAGTCCACCGCAAGCTTGAAATGAGTGGGAAGTTTGTACCCAGTATTCAGAGCGGGAAGTTTATACCCAGTATTCTTTCCACTCAACCCTTGAGTCCGCCCTTGAAATGAGCAGGAAGTTTGTACCCAGTATTCAGAGTTTGCCTCAATTGGGTACCACTTTCGTAGCCCGCACCGAAACAGTGCTTTACCCCTGGATAGTGCAGTTAATTGCTGCACCTCGACGCATTTCAGGGAGAACCAGCTCGCGAGAGATTCAACCAAGAAAATGACGTTAGAAAAAGGAGAATAAACGGGAAAAGAAAAACCATACGGGGGTTTACACGTACTTGAAACCGCCTCGCGCCGCTCACTCTAGGGCAGCTCAAGTGTGGCCCCAGAGGTCACTTGAAAAATTACCTCGTTTGCCTGGGCAGCACTTGAGCCGCCCTTGAGAGTTTCCCGCCCGTTTGATAATCCCGAAAATCAGTTCCCCCCCGTGGTCTCGGCCCACATGCAGCAGTGTAGTATAGTTTTCTGCTACCTGTGTGACTGTGGGATCACTGCGAACCGTTGATCATCTGACAAACGGACGGTAGGATTACACAACCCGCCCTTTTGGAAGGGGAGCCAGCAGCCTACTGTTTTGTGATTGGTTGGGGTGTCGTGTTGGGGTCACATTGGGGATGGCAGGAGAGGCATGGGCGTTGTAGTTTTCTACGAGTTTTTTTTCAGATAGTTAAACTACACGGGGATTTTCCTCTTCACTGAATGGAGGGGGAAGGTAAGGCCAGCTTTGGGTTTTTTTTTTTTTTTCAGCTTTGGTTTGTCAGAGACTTGCCTAGGGCCCCAAGGATCTATGCCTGTCCAATAGGAGGAATAGGATGTGGCACACCCATGAACTGTTGAAAGGAAGACCTGAGTTCCATTCCCACTGGCACTAGATGAGACATGTCTAGGGCCCCAAGGATCTAGTCTGTCCAATAGGAGGAATATGATGTGGCACACCCATGAACTGTTGAAAGGAAGACCTGAGTTCGATTCCTAATGGCCCTAGATGAATGAACTCAAATAAGAAGATTATTTACTTTCTTTTCCCGCCTTTTGGGGTCACACAGTTGCAGAAAATTGAACTACACGGCGCATGTGGGCCGAGACCACCGGTTTGATAATCCCGAAAACCCAATGACGACCCTCCAGTGAATAGGGAAACGCAAGGGCCCTGTGGAATGGTGTTAGGCAAGAAACCCTTGAGTTTAGAGTGGTGTGGAAAGAGCCCCAATCAATACTTTGTGACTGCATATGGTGTGTGGTGTGCCCCTTTTGCCCCTTGCCTCTTCCCCCCCTGACCAAGGGGCCTAGCTCAGTTGTTACACCCCTGAACTGTTGAAATACGAACCCCAAGTTCGAATCCAGATACCTTCAGATGAACAGAAAATAAAATCATCCTGAATTGCCTGGGCCGGGTCAGTTCAATGATGATACCTGCAGGCGGTCCGTCGCCTTCGGAAAAAAATGAAAAAAGAACGTCGGGTGACGCCCCGCTTGTCCTTCTCTGCTCTTCATTTTTCTTGTTGGTGACCGCTCGAGGAAATATGATGATAGGGAGCTGACAGCACGAAGATGACATGTTTCTCGCTACGTCAACAAGAAAACCACCGCCCCTTTTCCACGGGACCAATGACCTATCTTCACGATGTCAGCCAGGGCAGAGGAGTGCTCTCACCTTATGACCCGCTTCTCGTCCTCATCGGACTACTCATCATCTACTCCTCATTATCGTTTTCCTCGTATTCCTGGTTACCTTCCTCGTCCTCTTCGTCGTCCGTTCTTTTCATCCTTGTCCTTGCTTGTGTAGCTTTAATGCCCTCCTGACATGTCAGCCAGTATGGTTTCATATGTGCACAGAAGTGCGCCCACCGCTTGGCGTGACCCTCCCGCTCCCTCCCGCCCTCCCTCCGTCTCTCCCGTTCTCTCTCCCTCTCTCCCTTTCTCCTTCCCTCTCTCCCTCGTCCCTCCTTCCCTGCTCTCCTTTTGAAGATCAGCCTGCCACGTGGCTCTGACTCGTTCATAAAAGCGCCACTCACGCCACGTGGCAACGTCCACAGCGAAGGTCACCACCTGATTACCGTGTCGACATCACCATCTTCGTGATCTTGCCGCTGCTCTTTCCTCTTTATTTTTTTATTTTTTTTTGAAAGGGAAACGGTCTTGAGGCCGCTCCTCTTCCTTCCGGTTTCACTAAGTCAGAAACAGAAAAAGATTAAAAAAGAAGCGAAAGTGAAAAAAGTTCGCCGTCAGTTTTTTGCCGTAGAGTGCAGCAGGGCACCTGTTGTACGGCAATTGTACGGCAATTGTGCGGCAATTGTACGGCAATTGTACGGCAATTGTACGGCAATTTCTCCGCCTCCCTCCCCTTGAGTTCTCCCTCTTCGTCTTCCGCATCTTCCGACCTATTCACACACTAGGATTTCTCTTAATGCATTTGACCGCGATTACGGCCACGTACGGTTCAGTCGTGAAAGTCCGTGACGAACTCCCATATCTATCGTCGTCGCTCTGGCCGTCATCCCACCCCCCGCCCGAGTTCGCGGTTAACACGTGACGTCATCAATAACGTCCAACGAGCGCCCGCGCAGGGCACGGGGCGAGGGCATCATATACTCACACCCTTATCTCGAGCAGGAGCGGCAGGTGCAAGTGGTGCTCGCGACGGTTGAAGTCAACAGTCATTTAAAAAAAAAAAAGGAACGTGCATGGCAGCCTCGCGAAGGACAAACTCGAACTGCTGCGAACTTTGCGGACGGAATCTGGTCGTAATCGCGGCCATATTCACGTCAACGACATGCAACGCGTTCCGTAGTACTCTGACGCCACGGTCGCTACGACGTGCCTTGTCCAGATCCAGATGTGATAATGCCAACTGCCCAGAAAATTGCTCGCTGTCACAGACTCACAGGGAGTCGCACCGAGTCTTCGTGCTGGTGCACGATGGAGTAGGACTCGTACATATTGCGACTCCCTTGCGAAGAGTCCTACTCCATGGAAACATTGGGCGGGGGGGGCAATTTCACAGATGCCCCTCTTCTTCCCCCTCTGTGAAGAGTTAGAATCAGCTGCATGCTGCCAAGACAATAACGAACTGCAACAAGCTGACCTTTTTTTTTTTTTTTTTTTTTTTTTTTTGACCTATTTACACGTCTGACATGATCTTCCCGCCTTGCATGCGAGCTTGTATTCTTTATCCAGACACAAGATATACAATGCCAACTACGCAAAGGTCGCTGCATGCTGCCACTTGGCGTCAAAGCGAGTCTATTATCTCTTGTTGCCTGCCTGACGATGGCCCTCTTCTTCCCATGCACAGAGATAGTCTTCCCATGCGGAGAGATAGGGTGTTGGGAGACTAAGGGCCAGATCCCACTAGCCCCTATTATTCATTTCTGACCGTTGATCTTCGTAATCGACAGTCAAAAATGAATAATCCAGGGTAGTGGGATCTGACCCTAATTATGGTAACAAGCTTCATCAGCCTGGACTTTTTTTTTTTTTTTTTTTTTTTTTTTTGGGACTACGTACGTACATGCAAAAAAAACGTCCATCTCTTAGGCGAGATAAGGCAATCCCAACTACGGAGAGAAAAAAGATTGCTGGCGCTGCCAGTGGGAGTCGCGATCGAGTCTTCTTAGTAGGAGGGGGTCATGATGCCCCTTCCCCCCCCGCCTTCCTCCCCTGCGCAGAGATAGGATGCTGGCAGAAAAACAGTAGCGAACTGTATCAACCTGCGCTTAGTGGACTAGGTACGTGCCAACTTCCATTCCTTATCAAGGTAAGATAATGCGAACCAGCCAAAGATTGTCCGCTGCCTCTGACAGTCGCGGCGAGTCTTCTTGCTGCTGCCCCATGATGGGCTCCCCCTTCCTCCCTTGCACAGAGATAGGATGCTGGCATACCAGTACCAAACTTCATCAACCTGGACTATATACACGTCTGGCCGGATCTCCTGCTGCGTATGGAATCGTAATAGTGATTCTCCTGCTTGCTTATAGTTTCCTCAGCGCTACGGTATGGTTTACTCCACGAAATAGCTTGGACTTCCCATCTTCCTCCTCTTCCTCCTCTTCCTCCTCCTCCTCCTCCTCCTCCTCCTCCTCCTCTTCTTCTTCTTCTTCTTCTTTGTCGTCTTCATCGTCGTCGTCTTTCTCCTCTTCCCTTGCCTCTTCCTCCCAACCCCAATCCTACTTGTTCTCTTCCTCCCGGACGTTGCCGGTCCTTGTCCCTCCCTATGTCTCTTCGTCCGCTCTTCATCCACCATCTTCCTTCAACCTGTCCCCCTCCTCTACTTCCAGCTCGCAGCTCCCCTCTTTCTCCTCCCACCCCCCCTCTCCTGCTGCAAATAGGGAGGGAAAATCAAACTCGGATGGGGCAGAGACTTTGTCCACCAAGGGGGACGGCTATGGTAGAAAGCGCAATCGGAAGTCGTTAGGCGCTGCTGCGTCATCACCAGAAGAAGGGAAGGTTTCAGCAGAGGAAGCAGAGCGAGAGGGGGAGGAGGAAGAGGAGCAGGAGGTCGTGGTAATGGAAGAGGGGGAGAAGGATGATGACAAGGAAAGAGAGGTGGTGGTCATCGAGGACGGGGAGGAAGAGGAGGTGGTGGAGACTAAGTCCCAGGACAAGAACCCGTCCCCAGCGGCCATCCTAGGCACAGATACAGGAATAGACTATAGGTCGAGAAAGCAGGTAGACAGTGGGACTCGATCTCTTGACCAAGGAGGCGATGTTGCTATGTCTCGGAGCAAGGAAAAGATGACACGTGGCACTGCGAAGGGGACGGACGAGGAGACGCAGAACAAGGCAGAAGAGAAGGAAGAATCCGGCGATGGCGAGGAGAAGCCCGAGAAGACGAGAGGGCAGGAAAAGGAGGTGGAGGATGGGGAGAGTCTTTCCTCAGCTATGATCTCGATTTCCACCCCTTTTGCCGCCTCCTCCCCTCCCTCCTCCTCTTCCTCCTCCTTCTCCTCCTCCTCCTCGTCCTCTGCTTCCTTTGCCGCCGCCACCGCCGCGGAGGGAGGGAGCAACGATGAAGATAGGTGGAGCGTGAAAGAGGTGCTGAGCTGCCCTGGCGACTGCTCAGGGATTGCCACGTGTAACCTGGAGCTTGGCCGTTGCGATTGCCCTTATGGACGGACGGCTCCGGATTGCTCCGTCGATGGCCTGCTAGCCTGCTGGTTATCTCCCACCTACCGAACTACCTGCAGTTGGCCTGCGACTTGCTCCTGCTACAAGGACTGCAGTGCCCTCGGGATCAAGGTGGGAGGGCGTGGGTGCTTCGACGTCTCGCTCTCTGCGGTCCGTCAGCAAGCTGCAGGTCACGCTGGCTATGGCGATGGCCCGCACCAGGACCTCGATACAGCAGCCCAGCAGCGTCCCGATCCGGACCAGATACCCCGCTACCAGCACGCTCCCCCTGACGGCGATGGGCATAACGTCACTAAAGTGTCTGGCGACGGGGAGCAGCTGCAGCTGCAGCTGCCGGCGCTCAATCACCTCAAGCGCAGCTCGGTCTTTCCGTTGACGTCAACGCAGATGCTGGAAGAAGGGCGAGCTCGGATGGGTGATGATCACTACCTGCAGTCGGCGGCCTCGCCGCCATCGGAGTCGGAGACTCGGCCGGGAGACCGACCTCTCATCGAGACGGCGTGGACGCAACCGCTGCTGTTCTTCAGAGGGGAGGACAACCTGCGTCGAGGGGTGTTTGTGCAAGCTTCGCAGCTCCAAGCAGAGCTGCTCAATCAGATGCGGAATACTGTTCCCGCACTTGGATTGGAGGCTTGTCCTGCTAAGTGTCATTTTCGGGGCTGGTGCCACGAAACGAGGAGTTGCCGGTGTCGTACAGGATTTACTGGGTTCTCCTGTGACCACGTCGCCCACGTCCCTTTCTTCTCCACTTGCCTTAACAACTGCAGCTTTCATGGAGACTGCGAGTCTGGTGTCTGCGTTTGCGACGTAGGGTATTTCGGGATAGATTGCTCTCTCTACTTCAGAGAGAACCTGGACGTCGACAGAGATCCAGAGCACCCGAGAGTCTCGGATGTGACCGCACGTCAGAAGAGGAAGACTGCCTCTCTCCGGTGGTTGCTGCAGTCGGGGCGCAAAAGAGTGTTTGTCGAGGAGCAGGAGCATCAGGGAACGGACGAGGGGAAGCAGAAGGAGAGCCAAATGCAGGACAAGGAGAAGGAAGAGGAGGGGAAAGAGAAGCAGAAGGCGAATGTAGCGAAGGAGGAGAGGGAGAAGGAGAATGAGGAGGAGGAGGAGGAGGAGGAGGAGGAGG